TGGTGAAAGCATTTAGCAGCTCCCCAGTAAGGAGAGCTTTGGCTTGATGTGTGATGTAGCTGAGCTGGATCCCAGTCCAGATGGACAGTCATCTATATAGACAGCCCTGTCTTCAGCTCTGGTATCTGTGAGGATTCAAGGTGAACGTGCATTTTGTGCCCCAAATGGGACCTGGCCTGTTGCGAACACCTTACAATTATAAGCAGGGTGTTTCCAGGGCTGTTTGAGCAATAGAGGGCTGACACCAATAGGTTCCTGGTTATCCAGATATACTTATATTTCTAGAGTAGGATTTTATGTATTTTTGGAGACGTCAGTGAATCCCCTTGGGACTTGGATGAAAGCTCTAGACCTCTGCTACATACAGACATACATACATATGCATTCTGAGTACTTGAATTCCAGACCTTCACGGGCACCATGGTGTCTTTTCGTGGATCCCCCATAGGGAAGCCCTGAATTATTATTTTTTTTTAGGTTAATAGAGGATTTAAAAACCCAAACAGTACAAAGTTTCCATGGTGAGAAGGCAGGCTTTTTCTCAATGGGATCTTAGTCTCCAGTTTCTTCCCAAAGGCAACCACTGTCACTAGGTTGGAGTATCCTTCCAGAGGTGATGGAAAACAGAGGTGATGCTCAACTTAATTAGTCATCAGGGAAATGCAAATCAAAACCTCTCTGAGATGCCACTTCACATTCACTAGGATAGCTATAATAAAAAAGACAAAAACAAGTGTTGGCCGTGATGTGGAGAAACTGGAGCCACACACACTGTTGGTGGGAATTGAAAATGGTGAGCACTTTGGAAAACAGTTTGGCACTTCCTCAAAAGGTAAAAGAGTTTCCATATGACCTAGCAATTCTACCCCTAGGTGTCTACCCAAGAGAAATGAAAACATGTCCACACAAAGGCCTCCATACCAGTGTTTATAACAGCATGAATCATAATAGCCAAAAAATAGAAACAACCCAAATATTCATCAACTGATGAGTGGATAAATGAAATGTGGTCTATTCATAAAATGGAATATTCAGCCATAGAAAAGAATTAAGTGCTTGTGAAAAGTAAAGTAGAGGTTCCTCTTCAAAGACTTTCCTCCCTGTCTAATTAGGAATAAATAGTAACTTCTCTTAGAAGCAAAATTTATTCAAAGACCTGTGCTAACATTCTTAAATATCTGCCAGCCATACTAAAGAAATCAATGTACTTTATGTTCTTAGCTCCCACAATTTAGCCTAAATATTTGCCCTGGCATGGTTATACTGGTCCAAGCAAGCATCAAGTCATAGCCTGTTTCTCTTCCTTATTTGAAAATGTTTTTACCTTTCTCAGCATTCCACAAGTTACTTCCTCCTTCCTTTGTTCTCCTCTGCCTTTGCCTCTTTTAAAAAGTTTTAAGTTGCTAGCCAATCAAGACAAATACAGAATGTGAAGTCCCGTTCCGTCTATGGGAAAACTGGACACAGCAGTAGGGTGGATATGTCAGGTTATAAATGACCCTGGCTCCTTTGTTTGGTGTACTCTTGTGGCAAAACTGCTGGTGAGTGTACCCTTTCTGCAGAAAGTATAAAAATGACCTTGCTGAGAAAATTAATGTTCAAGTGCTATTTCTTTACAGCACCGGGAAACAAGTATTTCAAACATACTGACACATGTTACAACATGGATGAACCTTGAGATCATGGTAAGCAAAAGCAAGTCACATATTGTATGATTCCATTTTTAATTTTGTCAGAATAGGCAAATCTATCAAGACAAACTACAGTCTTGCTGAAATTATAGGAGTGAGCCACCAGACCAGCTGGTCATATACCCTTTTTTTTTTTTTTTGAGACAGAGTCTCGCTCTGTTGCCTAGGCTGGAGTGCAATGGCGCGATCTTGGCTCATTGCAACCTCCGCCTCCCAGATTCAAGCAATTCTACTGCCTCAGCCTCCTGAAAAGCTGGGATTACAGGCGTACACCACCATGCCCTACTAATTTTTGTATTTCTTTTTATTAGAGATGGGATTTCACCATGTTGGTGAGGCTGGTCTTGAACTCCTGACCTTGTGATCTGCCCACCTCGGCCTCCCAAAGTGCTGGGATTACAGGCATGAGCCACCATGCCTGCTGCTCATACACTTTAAATGAGTAAACTTTATGGTATATAAATTATATCTTAAAGTTGTTAGAAACAAACACACAAAGTGGTTACCCTCAGGCATTTGAAAAAAAAAGCCACATTTATCTTTGTATGCCACTCCTCTCTATTTAGCCACACATGTATTTTGTTCATGCTTTTTTTTCTAGGTCCTTTGTTTTTTCATGTCTTTCTTGGCCATTGCTCCTCAACAGTGAGTTTAGATGACTTCATTCTTTTTGCCTTACATTCCATTGTATGGATATTCCTTAATGTATATAACTACCTCCTACTGATAAAGATTGAAGTTTTGTTTTCATTCCAGCTACTACAGACAAGGCCACCTTCCAAGGAGATTGTATCAATTCACACGTTCATCAAGGATGTATGGGAGTGCATTTCCTCACATCCTCAGCCACAAGGTATATTATCTTGCTTTTTGATTATTGTCAATCTAATGAGTGGAAAATTATAATTTTATATGTACTTTTTATTTTTTTTAATTTTTTTTTTTTTTAGATGGAGTCTCGCTTTGTCGCCCAGGCTGGAGTGCAGTGACACGATCTCACCTCACTGCAAGCTCCGCCTCTTGGGTTCACGCCATTTTCCTGCCTCAGCCTCCTGAGTAGCTGGGACTACAGGTGCCCGCTACCACGCCCGGTTGTTTTTTGTATTTTTAGTAGATATGGGGTTTCACAGTGGTAGCCAGAATGGTCTCCATCTCCTGACCTCGTGATCCGCCCGCCTCGTGGCCTCCCAAGGTGCTGGTATTACAGCCGTGAGCCACCACGCCCGGCCATATGTACTTTTTTAATGGCTGAGGTGGAGCCATCTTTCTTATTTTTAAGAGTGTTTGATAACTTGTTTTTGTTCATTGCTTCCTTTGCCTTTTTTTTTTTTTTCTTTTTCCTTGAGATGGGGGTCTCACTTTGTCTCCCTGGCTGGAGTGCAGTGGCATAATCTTGGCTCACTGGACCCTCGACTTCCCAGGCTCAAGGGATCCTTCCACCTCAGCCTCCTGAGTAACTGGGACTACACATGTACACCTCCACAAGTGGCTAATTTTTGTGTTTCACTAGAGACAGGATTTTGCCATATTGCACACACTGGTCTCGAACTCTTAGCCTCAAGCGGTTCACCCGCCTCGGCCTCCCAAAGTGCTGGGATTACAGACGTGTGCCACTGGACCCAGCCTCCTTTGCCAGTCTTAATACTAAGTTATTATTTTGGGAGAATTGCTACATCGAATATCGGCCCTTTGTCATATGTTTCGAGTATTTTTCTAAATTTGTACCTTGTCTTTGATTTTTTCTTTTCTTTCCTTTTTTCTTTCTTTTTTTTTTTTTTTGAGACAGGGTCTTGCTCTGTCCTCCAGGCTGGGGTGCAGTGGCGCGATCATAGCTCACTGCAGCTCCGACCTCCCGGGCTCAAGTGATCCTCCCACCTCAGCCTGAATAACTGGCACCACGCCCAGCTAATTTTATTTTTTGTAGAGATAGGGGGTCGCACCATGTTGGCCAGGCTGGTCTCTAACTCCTGAGCTCAAGCCATTCTCCCGCCTCGGTCTCCCAAAGTGCTGAGATTGCAGGCGTGAGCCACCGCTCCCAGCCGTCTTTAATATTTTTCACCAGGCGGATAGTCCACGTTTTTGTGTAGTCTTTTTTTTTTTTTTTTTGGTGGCTTCCAATTCTTCCCCTTCCTGGGTGTGTCACTTGGTCTCTCTGAGCCACAGTTTTCTGCTCTATAAAGTGGGGTGACAATGCTCAGCATACGGCTTGCTTTGGCTCGATGAGCGAATGCAGGTCTGAAAGCTTCCGGCACAGGGGCCGACGCTGAGGGGAACGGCGTTAACTTAAGCGCGTCCACGGACGCTGCCTGCCTGCACAGTTGGCTGGCCTCAGCTTCCCGCTGTTCAAGCCCACGTGAGTGGCTCCGCCCCATCTGGCTTCTGACCAATGGACGAGCTTCCTAAGGCGTACCGTCCCGACTCTAAGCCGCTTGGCTACGAGACGGGCTCCGTCTTGCTCGGAGTCCCGCCCCTTGCCGGGTCGAGCAATGGGCGCCTTCCGTTTGGCGTAGGCCCCGCCCCTGCCGCTCTCCGGCCTGCGGGCCGCAGGGCTCGTTCCGGAGGGCGGGCGCCACGGAGGCCGGAGTGGTCGCAGCTCCGGCAGAGGCCGGGTGGGGCGGGGTTATAGGGCTGGGGCAGGCGGCGGACTGCCCGGCGGGACAGCGGCGGCAGCCGGCCGGGGGCGTCCTGAGTTGGCGGACGGGGGCGCTGCCAGCTCCCGAGGGGGCCGCTCGGGCCCCTTCCGGCCCGGGTCTGGTCGGGCCGCAGGAGCAGGGCGGGCTGCGGCGCCCAGTCTGACCCTGGCCTAGGGACTGAGCGCCTGGCCCTAGGGCTGCCGGTGGGGCAGCCATGTGTGATTCTTGAAGCGCCATGTGGTCTTCTGAAGCGCTTTTACAGTTCTGAAGGGCTTTATATTGCAAACTGATCAAAGCACTTTGTAGCCCCGGAAGCGCTTAGGCATCCTCGAAGTAGGGCTGTGCAAAGTGAAGCGCTTCGTGATCTCAAAAGCACGTTGTGGACTTGGAAACCAACGGAAGCCTTTAGTAAATTTTGGGTCGCTTTGACTTCTCCGACTCGGTTTGGCATTTCTGAAACCTTGAGAACTGTGATGGGCAGTGGAAAGAAGAGGGAAAGGTCAGTGAGGCTAGCCTGTGGCTCTGCCCTTGTGTCTTGCCGTCCCCTTGGGCGGGGGGGCGGTGGGAATGTGAGGTGGGACCGCCAGGAAGGGTGGTGTTGGAATCCAGGCCCCCTGTACCTTGCAGGTGCCCATGGCGTCCGAGCGGGGCAAGGTCAAGCACAACCGGAGCAGCACGTCGGAAGGGTGTCCCAGCAAGCGCAGCTGCCTCCGGGAGCCCTGTGATGTGGCCCCCTCCAGCCAGCCAGCTCAGAGGTCTGCATCGCGTTCTGGAGGGCCCGGCACCCCCAAGCGCCTGAAAGCCCAGAAGGAGGACGATGTGGCTTGCTCGCGGAGGTTATCCTGGGGCTCATCCCGCCGCAGAAATAACTCCTCCTCCTCCTCCCCCCATTTCTTGGGCCCAGGTGTGGGCGGGACCGCCTCCAAAGGCTGCCTGATTCGAAGCACTGGGGGGTTCCTGTCTTCAGGGGGATCCCCTCTGCGTCCTGCCAACGCCTCTTTAGAAGAAATGGCTTCTCTAGAGGAGGAAGCCTGCAGCCTTAAGGTAGGTGGCTGCCACGCTTTGCAATCTGTGAAACCGCTTCCACATGGCTTGAGAGGTTGGGGATGGGAATTTTGATGGAAGGAGACTGTAAAACATCACATTCTTGAAGGTCTGGAGGATCTTCCTAGAAGTCCGCTCCACCCAACTCGAAGACCAAGCAGTCTTCCAGGGGCGTGGCCTGAAGTTAAGTAGAGAGGTAGTTTTCAAATTCGGCAGCACTTTGGAACTACTTGGAAAGCTTTAAAATACTTGGGCCTACCTCCTACCCCAGAGAAACTGATTTGTTGGTCTGAGGTGTGGTCTGGGCTTCCAGATTTTTCAGTGCTCCCCAGGTTATTGTAAACGTGCAGCCCCGTTGGAGAATCACTGCAGTAGAAGGTGGATTATGTGTTCAAGAGAAGGATGTATTTATTTTAGTTGTCAGTTTAAGGAATTGTGTGTCCTTGTACTTTGAACCACTCTGCATCACAGAACGAAGAATTGTGGTTCTTGGTGTAGCTCTCTTCCAAAGTCATGGTTTCCAGCATGTTGGGGTTTTGCTTGGTGGTGCTAGTTTTTTTTTTTTTGGAGGTTAAATTGTTAGTTCCCTAATGGAAACATGCAAGAGGGTTTCATAAGTACTTGGAGCAGACCAAGGAGTGCTTCACAGAGAAGATACATTTAGCTCATCTACTCAATCAACACAACAAATATGTGTTGAGGGTTTAGTTTGTGCCGGGCAATGTTCTAGGTGTTTGGGATTCTTTACTAACAAAACAGATCACTTTCCCCTTAGAGTTTGCATCCTAGGTTTTGAAGCTCTGGATCTTAAGAAGTGAGAGGTTCTGCCTGTGGAGGAGAATGGAGAAACAGTTTTATTTGGGATGAGACGGGCTGCCTCTAGAGAAAATTATTTTACAAAAGCAATTAAAACAGGCCCTAAGGAATATGGGTTTGTTTTTAAGCCTAGCCTTGGTGGTTTCTTTTGTGTAGCTGAGAAAGGAGGCTGTATTTCACTTTGTTTTGGGGACTCATAGGCTAAGTGTCCCTGGTTTTTTCATTGTGGACCTCACTGTCTGAACTTTTGTGTGGGCGCGTGGATTTTTTCTTTTTAAATTCACAAATAATGGTGAGTTGAAAAGCCCTGTCTCTAGCGTAGGAATGCTGAATTTGTCTCAAATCAGGTAAGTATGGGACTTTGCTCCTTCTTGATACATTTTCAGTAGACTTGGGTACAGCATAAAATAATACCAATTGATTAAATTTAGCTTCACTGACAATTTATAGATAGAGTGAAACCTGGTACTGGGAGAGGCAGGAAATTTATTTTACATAGTCTTTCAGGTGTGCTGAATCCCTGGCTGTCCTAAAGATCTGGAACTCGGGTTTGAGGATGTGGTCTCTAATCTGGGTGGGTCTGATTGTAGGATGGACCCACCTTTCTCTCATTAAGGCTAAAGGAGCCTTGTTTTGCAAGAGCCCAATTTAATGGTTTCAATATAAGCGCTTGAGGGTTATTGCATGCCAAGCACTGTTGGGTCTGGGAGTGATGAGCTTCTAGGGAGCAGTCTGGTGGGAGGACTGGAGGGATGGTCACATGACTGCCTACAATGTGGTATGATGGAGCAGTGAGCCCAGGAGGCTGGAGAGCGAGGTGTAGGGGGCAGACTGCAGCAAGGTTTTAGTAGCCAAGGGAATTTGGATTTTATCCTAAGGGCAATGGATTTTATTCTAAGGGACAATTCCCTTATAATTGTATTCTTTGTTTTTTTTTTTTTTTTTTGAGACAGAGTCTTACTGTATCACCCAAGATAGAGTGCAGTGGCGTGATCTCTGCTAACTGCAACCTCCACCTCCCGGGTTCAAACAGTTCTCCTGCCTCAGCCTTCCAAGTAGCTGGGACTACAGGTGTGCCCATGCCCAGCTAATCTTTGTATTTTTAGTGGAGATAGGGTTTCGCCTGGTTGGCCAGGCTGGTCTCGAACTCCTGACCTCAAGTGGTCTGCCTGTCTCAGCCTCCCAAAGTGCTGGGATTACAGGTGTGAGCCACCAGGCCTGGCCAATTGTATTCTTTTTTTAAAAACTTATTTTATTTTTTTGAAAGTATTTGGCTGGAGTGCAGTGGCACAATCATGGTTCACTGTAGCCTCGAACTCCTGGGGTCAAACAGTCTTCTTAAATAGGTGAGAATATGGGCATGTGCCACCACACCCTGCAGATTAAAAAAATTTTTGGGGGGCCGGGTGCAGTGGCTCACGCCTGTAATCCCAGCACTTTGGGAGGTCAAGGCGGGCGGATCATGAGGTCAGGAGATCGAGACCACCCCTGCCTAACACAGTGAAACCCCGTCTCTACTAAAAATACAAAAAATAATTAGCTGGGTGTGGTGGCAGGTGCCTGTAGTCCCGGCCACTTGGGAGGCTGAGGCAGGAGAATGGCATGAACCTGGGAGGCAGAGCTTGCAGTAAGCCAAGATCAAGCCACTGTACTCCAGCCTGGGCGACAGAGCAGGACTCAGTCTCAAAAAAAAAAAATTTTTTTTTTTTATAGAGATGAAGGTCTCGCTCTGTCGCCCAGGCTGGTCTCAAACTCCTGGGCTCAAGCTGTCCTCTCACCTTGTCCTCCCAAAGCACTGGGATTAGAGGCATGAGCCACTGTACCAGCTGGATTGTCTTCTAAGCAATTAGAATTTATACAAGGCTCTACACAGAAAAGGAAATTGCATTGTAGAAACATCACTCTTTTGAAGATTTTTTTTTTTTTTTTTGAGATAGCGTCTCGCTCTGTCGCCCAGGCTGGAGTGCAGTGGCCGGATCTCAGCTCACTGCAAGCTCCGCCTCCCGGGTTTATGCCATTCTCCTGCCTCAGCCTCCCGAGTAGCTGGGACTACAGGTGCACGCTCCCATGCCCGTCTAATTTTTTTGTATTTTTAGTAGAGATGGGATTTCACCGTGTTAGCCAGGATGGTCTGGTCTGAATTTCCTGACCTTGTGATCTGCCCGCCTCGGCCTCCCAAAGTGCTGGGATTACAGGCGTGAGCCACTGCGCCCGGCCGAAGATTTTTATATTATCCTGATTGTCCATCTCTAGGACTGCGGAGGTCTCTTCCTGGAGCATATGTTTGTCAGTTTAAAAACCAAGTGTACAGTACTTGATTCATTTTGAGGAATTACAGAATACCTCTTACCTTCCACCTTCATCTGTACCTCTTCCTCCCTTGCTCTGCAGTCATCTGTGAACTTGTTTGTCCTGGTCCTAAGTCCAGCAAGCACAGCCGAGGAGTTCTCACGAAAAGCATGTTCGTCTTCAGGTCCTTCTAGAGTCCTCCCACCACTCTCCTGTGTTGGCTCTGTAAACTCTTTTTTTTTTTTTTTTTTTTAAAAACAGGGTCTTTGTCACCCAGGCCTGAGTGCACTGCCATGATCATAGCTCACTGCAGCTCAACTTCCTGGGCTCAAGGGATCCTCCTGCCTCAGCCTCTCAAGTAGCTGGAACTACAGGCATGTGTAACCCTGCCTGGCTCATTTATTTATTTTATTTTATTTTTTATTTTTTATTTTTTTTTGAGATGGAGTCTCGCTCTGTCCCCCAGGCTGGAGTGCAGTGGCTGGATCTCAGCTCAGTGCAAGCTCTGCCTCCCAGGTTTACGCCATTCTCCTGCCTCAGCCTCCCAAATAGCTGGGACTACAGGCGCCCGCCACCACACCCGGCTAGTTTTTTGTATTTTTTATTAGAGACGGGGTTTCACCGTGTTAGCCAGGATGGTCTCGATCTCCTGACCTCGCGATCTGCCCATCTTGGCCTCCCAAAGTGCTGGGATTACAGGCTTGAGCCACCGCGCCCGGCCTTTATTTTACTTTTGAGACAGAGTCTTGCTCTGTCACCCAGGCTGGAGTGCAGTGGTGCGATCTTGGCTCACTGCAAGCTCCGCCTCCTGGGTTTACACCATTCTCCTGCCTCAGCCTCCCCAGCAACTGGGACTACAGGTGCACGCTCCCATGCCCGTCTAATTTTTTTGTATTTTTAGTAGAGATGGGATTTCACCGTGTTAGCCAGGATGGTCTGGTCTGAATTTCCTGACCTTGTGATCTGCCCGCCTAGGCCTCCCAAAGTGCTGGGATTATAGGCGTGAGCCACTGCGTGCGGCCTGCCTGGCTGATTTTTTGTTTTGTAAAGACGAGAGTCTACCTATGTTGCCCAGGTTGGTCTCAATCTCCTGGGGTTAGGCAGTCCTCCCACCTTGGCCTCCCAAAGTGCTGGGATTGCAGGCATGAGCTACTGTGCCTGGCCTTGCTCTGTAAACTTTGAGGGTTACACAGTTGACTTTGCTCCCTTCTCCTACCAGCCTTTAACACATCTTTCTCTGTGCCAGGTCCCAGAATATTCCGAGGGGAAGGTCTTAGACTCATTTTAGAATCGGTAGAGATCCCTGCTGGCTGACCTCACATCGTTCCCTTCTTATCTCCAGGACAGTTGTAGACGTTTTATGTTAGCTGATGATCTTCATTTACTCTTCATAGAGAAGATTAACTGTGTGATGAGCACCTACATGTAGTAAAGATTATTTTTGCTATGACATCTAAATGTCTACATTCAATTTGGAGTAGGAAGAATGGAAGGGAAAATTTGAGCATGCATGATAAGGCTTGATCAACTGTGATTCTCGATGTTTGACCTATAGACTGTCACATGATCCCAAGAGTGTCGTGAAGTAGGTGGTATTATCTCTACATATCTGTTAGTAAATATCTTCATATCAATTAAAAAATATTTAAGCACCTGCTATGTGTGGGCACTGGGCAAATGAGATTCAGAAAGGTTAAGTAAGCTGACCA